CTCAATCACAAAATAGGTGTTGAAGCTCTGCTTTCTGGTTTTCTTAATAGGAAAGAAATTAACTAGTAAAAGGCAGCTATGAATAAATGAGACAAGTTGACTATCAGAAAATCTAATCACTGAATGTTGCTATCTACAGTATGCCTAAGATCTAAAGTTAAAAAATATCAAAAAGGCAAAACCTATGACCCAAGATGGATACGAACTTTGTCCTCAAGTATTATATGTACTAAAATGTTTTAGCTTCCCTCTAGTTTTCCATTTCTTGTTATATATAGTGCTTTTTTCTGAAGTGTGAAGCAGAGTATGAAACAACATATACTTTTACCAAAGAACAATAATTCCCCAGCATATTGAGAAACGCGTCATATATAACCAGAGAAAAGTTGGCACTCAAAATTAGCAGACTATCACTACCTTTTTGTTAAACAAAAGAAATTTCATGTTTAAATATAATTTAACTTGATAAAATTGGTTAAACAATTTTTAATAGTGAAGTCACACCTGTATACCTTGGTTGTTTCATGGCATATACAAGTAACTTTATGAATTTCTACGAAATTAAAAAAATGTAGAAGTTTTACTCAAAAACTTCAAAGGAAACGGAACACCAAAAATTACAAACTAAACCAGTGAGATTTTTTTGTTTGTTTTAAGGGGACAAAGTTATGGGGTTCAAGCCCTGTCTTTACGTAGAGCAAGTCTATTTTCTAAAAAACTTCAGGGAATAGTGGCTTGCACTTCTATTCACATTCGACAAACCAAAAGAATGCACATACTGGTCACATTACAACTTGAAGATACTCATCCTTCAATTCAAATAATGGTGTTGACATCAGTCCTGTTCCAAGAAATCTGGAATGTAGGGGTGTTAGATTATACAAGTCACTAAGAAAGTTATAAACTAATAAGAAAATGGAATACCAATTAACAGGTGACACTAACGAGTATAAATCTATTTGTTATATGAGGGATTACGTGCGACAATTTTTTTCTTATTCATACATGAACAGTACTATCTGATGTAAAAGATTTAGTGTTTTACCAAAAATGCTACAGTTTTCCCAGTGCCAGTCTTTGCCTTGGCCAGAACGTCCTTGCCTACCAAATACAATGGATTACAACAGGCACTGTCATCAATAACACATACAATAAATGAATAAGACAAGAAAATAAGAAATCCTTGCAACAGAGAAGGCTGGGATAGCACTCTAATACATATTATATTTCAGCATGTAGTTTCAGACTGGTTGAAGTAACACCATTGGACTTATCATTTACAAAGCCATCAAAACCTCTATATACTATCTGATGAATGACATCTCAACTCACTATGCTTCAAGCTTCTGCAAAATATAAAGGCTGACCTTTCAGAATAACGGGAAGGGTTGCCTCCTGCACTACGGTCATCGTTTTGTATCCAGCATCTTTAACTCCTTTCAGAGACAAGGGAGAGAGAGAAAACTGATCAAACCTGCAGGGAAAAGGATACAAATATTATCTAATATAATAAAGACATATATATTGACAGAAGAATTAAATTTTCCTTCGGGCTACTTGGAGCATGAACACAAATATTTCACTATATCTGCCTTGATAATTAGAACTTCAACAGGAAGTCCATCTAACTGGAAAATTTACCATATTCTTGGGCAAAATCCCTCTGATTGTGTAGAGTCAAGCAAAATATCCACTTTCAACTAATTGATGAAGTATCATTCATGCGCTCAACCCCTTCATCTATGTTTCTTTATCAGTCCCCTTCATTTATGTTTTCCTATACAGTGATTAAGCACCATAGTACTTGATGATAGCTAATCCACTAAATATTCCCGAATTATCTCTTTCTATTTTCATTTAACATATTCTCTAATAGCAACTATCGCATATCTAAATCCTAACTCAGTAATTTAGAAGTACAGAATAACAACAATCCCAATCCCCATTGCTTTCTGGCAAAAGATTCAGCAACCTCTGGATCATATATGTTAGTGCTATTATTTATTCATTATTTTAGCATCATGCTTGTAAGAGCTCCAGACAGCTATTCAAAAAGATTCTAACTAGCATGCTGCGTAATACATAGTGAGGCATGAGTTTATAAATTACCTGGTTTCCGTGAGGTGGGAATCACTTTTTCCATGTGAGCTCGGACTTGATGTCCTTGGACTGTCCTCCTTTTCCAAAGAGACCATTTTTTCATCCTCAACCTCATTGTCTTCAGCAGATTCTTCACTTTCTTCCTCGCTGTCAATCAAATCTTGGAACCCCTTATAACCATTCTCATCTTCCTCTTCCTCTTCCTCTTCCTCTTCCTCATCCTCATTATCGGTATCATCTTCATCTAACAGCATGGAACTCCCTCGACCCATACCTGCCCCTTCTTTCCTCCCTAACCTACCACTACCACCTTGTGCTGCCATATCTCTACCATATCCACTACCAACCCTGCTTTTACCCCTATTGTCACTGGAACTTGCCATTTCACTTCCAAACCTCCCTCCCTTCCTTGGAAATGACTCCATCCGATCCTGGCCTCCACTTCTTCTACCTTCGCTTTCTCTCCCCATATCACTCCCAAACCTTCCTCCCTTCGAAAATGACTCCATACGGTCTCGGCCTCCACTTCTTCTACCCTCACTTCCACTCCTTATATCACTTCCAAACCTTCCTCCCCTTGAGGAGGACCCCATTCGATCTCGACCACCATCACCTCTTCCACCCTCATTTCTACTCCCCCTGTCATTTCCAAACCTCCCTCCATTTCTTGAATTTGACTGCATTCCACCTCGTCCCGCACCTCTTCCACCCGACAATTCACTTCCAAACCTCCCTCCATTCCTCGAATTCGACTGCATTGGGCCTCCACCCCTCCTACCAGGCCCACTAAAATCATCATCTCTCCTTCTCTTTTCACCTCTATCTTCTCCACCATTATGCCTATTACCAAATTTACCCCTACCCCTTTCCCTGTCACCCTCATTATCATCACTCTCACTATACACCTGAGTTTTCGTAAACGAAGAATCAGACCTCAACCCACTCACCCAATCACTGAGTTCAGCTTCATCTTCAATCAAGCTCTTCGAAACTCGCACGTCAGCACCCGACCCGGGTCTTGGTCTCCCTGAACGGCTCGAGAACCTACGAAGCTCTTGTTCTTGAGCTGCTAAAATTGGAAACCCAATTGACCTATACTTAAGCTTGTGCGGAAACATTCTAGAAAAAACTGGTATTGTTTTAGGCTTCAAAGTTGAATTGCATTTCATGGTGGGAAAATGGGTAACTGGGAATGTAGAATTGAAGAAACGAAGCTGTGGTAATAACTTGAGCGGCATGGAAAATGGTGAAAAATATAAAGGGGGGAGAAATTAGGGCTTTTTTTTTTAAAAGAAGAAGAAGAAGAATTGAGGATAGGGTTTTTAGGGTTTAAGCCCTATTTGCCCTCTTTCGGAGGGTTTAAGGGTAAAACGTTTGAGATTTTGTGAGAGGGAGATATTTGTATGTCAGACTACGACGACGTTTAGTAAACTGTATATGAAAAACAAGATAATATCCGTCACAAGTACTTGGCATTTGGTGTTATATCCAATTTGGTCCCAACAGTTTTGTTATTTTTCGTTAATAGTCCATGCACTCTTCATTTTCTACACAATAGTGTCGAATGATTTGGGAGAAAATGACATAAATAGTCTCTTAACTATAAAAGTAGGTCTAAAATGATCCATTAACTATACATTTAACAGATATAGTTCTTTAACTATTCAAAAACTTATCAACTTTGGTTCCTTAATTATACACTTACCGGTTTTAGTCCCTTGACTATAAAGTTATCGATTTTAGTCCTTTAAGTATTCAAAAACTTGTCAGGTTTGGTCTTTGTCTATTTCTTTAATACAAATAGCTTAGATTTATATTAACGGAAATATTCGTGAAATTAAATCCTTAACTCATTTTTAAAGTTGTTTCCCTATCCCTGCCCTATTTCTTCAAACTACTCTTATAAAAAGAACAATAACGTCTACGATTATTTTATTTTTACAAATCTACCATTTTATAAATTTCAATTTCTTAAAAATTAAACAAATTTCGTTCAATGAAGTCGTTGAAGTACAAACTTTGGATTTAACGGGGAATAATTTTTTTCTTTTGACTTATATTTTCTTTCCTCGTGAATTTTATTTTAAATTGTTAAGGTTAAGGTTCTTCGCATAAGGTTAATTTGAAAAAAAAGTAGCGGAGAGAGAGAAACAACAGAAAAAATTGCTAAAGAATTTAATTTATCGAGGCATGAATTCCGTTAATATAAATCTAAGCTATTTATATTTAAAAAATGGAAAAAGACCAAACTTGGTAAGTTTTTGAATACTTAAAGGACTAAAATCGGTAACTTTATAGTTAAGGGACTAAAACCGATAAGTGTATAGTTAAGGGACTAAAACTGACAAGTTTTTAAATAGTTAAAGGACTATATCCGTTAAGTGTATAGTTAAGAGATCATTTTAGACCTACTCATATAATTAAGAGACTATTTATGTCATTTTCTCAATGATTTGGACTCCATGTTTTAAAAGATAATAGTTGAATTTGTAACTACTAACTACTCATTTATCCTTAACTAGAGGTTTTGCATTCAAGTCCCAGAGTATGGAGTTGCCTTTTTACTCCCCCAACTTGAGACTTCTCGGCCTGAATTCAGATTTACTCTACTGAACTATGGTTTTCAATGGCTTCTGGACACGTTTTTAAACTGCTACTTTAATACAAATGCAACTACGAAGAAATTAGGAACAAATTAGACCACTACATGCCCAGGGTTAACATTTCACAATCAAGAAATCGTTACTTGTTTAGGTTAGATATTCTGGTAACTCATCAAATATCTAATGGATGATTTGATCTTTGGAATAAAAAGAATTAAAATGAATAAAAGGATGCCTGAGACATTCAAATTTCAATTGTGAAGAAATAGCAAGTAACATAACTAGCCATACATAATTGGAGTTTTATAAGGTACAATGAACAATGAATTACAACTGATAAATATTAGCTAAGATAAAACTGCATGTAGAATTTGACATCATATACATTGTTACTTTTCTCCAGCTCGAACTTGAAGTCAAGGTGTCTGGCTGTTTATCTTGTGCTTTTGTACAGTGTATCAATGTTGTTCTGCAATTTCACGTTTGTTATGTGTCAGCAATAAACAAGAAACTGGCTTCCAACTTGAAAAAAAAATTCTTGTAGAAAGCACTCGACTTTTCGCTATATGGGCATGCCCTAAATCTAACTTGGGAGAAGCAGATTAGCAAACCTGGTAGTATTTGAGAAACTGGGCTCTCTTTTTCTTGTGAGTTGGGGTTATAAGTTCACGCTCCATGTCAAATGGTACAGGGTCAAGGTGCACAGCTTTGATAAATTCAAAGCCTTTCAGCTGTAAGCAGAATCACACATTCAATAATTCAAAACCAATGAAACAGTCATTCAGTATAGAACTCTGCTGTATATATGTAGATACAGGATAAGGGATGACCTTTTTTTCCTTAGCAATACTGGTTAGTTCTGATAGGATATATGTTTTTGCCTTTGGGTTCTCACATATAGTATCAAAATCCCCAGTCATTCCATTCTCATTGGCCCAGGAACGAAGAGCCTCCATATTGGGATTCACAACAGCAACAAGAAATGACTCATAGCTACTACCATAGATCCATATCTGTTTCAAACGGACAGAAAAAGTCGTCAAGATAAAATGTGATGCTGCAACTATATCTAGAGTGGACTTGGTTATTTAATATTGAAGTATAGAAGGAACACAACTTAAGGGGGATGAGTGTAATATTCAAGATATCTGTAAAATGAAAGAAACATACTGAATCCACACTAGAGGCAAGAGAATAAATGCCCTCCAGATTCTCAACTGCAACATATTCTCCTTGGGAGAGCTTGAAAATGTTTTTCTTGCGGTCAATAATTTTCATGCTCCCATCCGGCTGCCATTCACCAACATCACCTGTTGCAAGTTTATACAGTAAGGAAAATGGCAAGCTATCCACAAACCAAGACATTGGGTTGAGAACGCAGATATATATTTGTCAAGTCACACCTGTGTGGAACCATCCATCAACCAACACCTCCTTGGTGAGGTCTTCACGCTTATAGTATCCTGAGAATAAACACTTCCCTCTTATGCATATCTCTCCACGAGGGGTATCTCCAAGGGCGTCGTACCCCATTTCAGGAACAGACTCTAGACACACATCTATAATTGGTAAAGGAGGACCAACAGTGCCAACCATTGCCAATTCATCTGGTCTTGCAACAAATGAGCCTGCACAGGTCTCCGTTAAACCTAGAGCACATACCGCGAAGTTAGAGTTGGTTCAAAACTAGTGCCTAGTGCATTATGACTTAATTTAGGAAAATCTTTTGTAAGTAGAAAATGTTTGAAAAGTAATAATAAGTACCATATCCTTGAAGAACATTAGCACATGTTACAACTCGTAAATAGGTTTCAACAGTGGAAGAGAGAGGAGCTGCTCCCGATAGAATGAGACGCAAATTTCCTCCTAAACCCTCCTTCACCTAAATCAGTAATCATCTCATAAGGCATTAGCAAGTCACTTTGGAACACTGTTGTTTGTGATACCAAAAAGATGGAGAAACAAGGATGAAAAAAGAAGCTGTTAAGAAAGATGCAATTGCTTCCTACCTTGTTGAAAATTATTTTGTCAAAAATAGGAGCTGCCTCTGAGTGCCTATACCCTTTACTCATGTTGCCCAATTTGCTGCAAGAAATGTGTTGTGTGTTAGAAGCGGATCCAAGAATGCACATGAGTTCCAAGCTCAGAAGTATATCACAACCCATTTGATTTATTGAGTTCAAACTCTACTATTTGTACTTATTTAGCGGATGTTTTAACACACCTACAGAGTCTGAGCCAAATCAATTGTGTCAAAATGAACCATACATCCTGAACTACATCCACTGCTGTTATCCTTGATCATTAAACTAATGAAATAGATCTTAGTAATATTTCCAATGTAGCATGACATATCCATTGAACAATCCTAATTTACATATATGTCATTACTCATAACTCATCTGAGAGGTGTATCTATGCACATTGACAATTTTACACAGCAAAGAGTCTCTACAGTCAACATATATTTAAGCTTCAACTCTTTCTGTGAACGCCTATGCACTTATATGAGTTATACAGGTGTATATGCTACAATCGAAAAAGTTTTTTATCATGGCAAAGATCCTAAGCATGACGATGCCCTAACAGCCCAAAGACCTCCATGAGTTTCAGATGGCTAAGTAACCACATGCACAGACATGGACTCAAAAAGTGACAGCAAACTGAAAAGGTCATCAACATAAAAGGCTTCTACCATTTAAGTATCATTCTGTTTGTTCCGTAATAAGGAAAATAGTGCAGAAGGAATTAGTACGTTTCAACGATTGACTTCTATTTTTCCCTTGCAAACAAGATCAAATGGGCACTTACTAGTTATAAGTAAAATTAAACAGTTTGTGTTTAAGGAAACCAGCAGATGAAATCTTCTCCACCAAACCTGAAAGTGGAAATGGTTAACCCTTTAAGAATCATAGTTGAATTTGTGCAAAACAATGCAAGAACCTCGCACTAGGAATATTGATTATAAGATGATAGCATCTTTGCAATAGGAAAAAAGGAAACTTTTATGAAGCAATTAAAAGGGCAATGTTCAATGGCAGTTGAAGAAACCGTTTCTGTTAAAAACATGTATTCATGGACCTCAATACTCATTGTTTTCTGTATTTTTATCCCAGAACTATCTTAGCAGAATGAAGAACATTAAGCCCATGTAAAACATCATGCAGCTCTGTTAGCTTGTGGCTTTCACCTGAATAAATCCTGTCCAGCACACGCGGAACTGAACAAAATACAGTTGGCTTTAGCTCTTTGATGTCATCAATCAATTGTTTAACATCCTGAGGATTCCATCAATAAAGTATCATTAATTTCAAGTATTTGGAACCAAAAGTAATCCACCATGTTTCTTTACTTACCTTATGCCAAAAACCAACTGAGGCACCTTTAGAAATGAATAATTCTTCAATGACTCGATCAAATATGTGCGCTAAAGGAAGGTACGATAAATATACATCCTTATCAATGAACTGCATACCACAGAGGGATTAGTAAATGGAACACACCTAAAAGAAATATATATGAAAAAGTTGTATAACAAAAACCCACCTGAAACATAACAGTAAATACAGGATATAAATATATATGAAACTTCTACATTCATTAATCATGACTGACACACTGAAGAAATTCTTACTTAAGGCATTCATAACTTTTTACTGTCCTGGAAGATAGAACAAGGGCAATCAATTTTACCTCTTCACCCACGGTCTCCATATGGTGGTTCACTCCAGATATAAGGGATAGAATGCTCTCATTGGAAATCATGACTCCCTTTGGGTCACCAGTTGTTCCACTTGTGTACATGATTGTGCATATATCTGTCTTCTTTTTAGCTGGAAAATCAAATTTCTCTTGCATTCCCTGCAGATTAGTTCTGAATATCAATATAAACTACAGAAAACGGAAGAGGAAAATAAGTTGCATAAATTAGTTTTCGAAGGTTAGTTCCAATAATAGTATATATGGAACATTCTTTTAGCTGACAACTGATATATATGCAAAAGTTCAATAACCCAAAGAGGAATAGAAGTTGATTATATATATCTGAAGACATGTCTTGAGATAAAACAATGGATTGCGAAAATGCATTGGATAGAATTTGTTTCCAGATATAATATAAGAAGATGAGACAGTTCCAAAAAAGTGGTCAAACTGAATTGGATTCAGGCCTATGTTGAAACTGATCTAGGGTTAATATCTCGAGCATTTTCCTACCCTTTCTATGTGGTACAGGCATGACACTGCAGCTATAAGTTCAGACAAGTGACAAATCCCATTGGCACATGCTGCTCTCACAATAATAAGTCATAGTTCGAATGTGAATTAGAACAAAAAGGACAGAAAAGCTGTTGAAATTGGTTTAAGTAGACTTCTCTTGTGTGACTTACATACTACTTAATCACAAAAAGTTATTACGAATGATAAGAGCAAGGCAATAAGAAATCCAATAAGAATCCATTAAGTGAAGAACGTTTCTCCGCGATAGTCAAAAAAAAGAGGAAGACATGACTGTAACAATATATCCAAGTAACCTACCAGCAACAGGAACTCATCCCAAGAATATAACTTCAGATCAAAATTTCCAGCCATGTCTTTCTGTTCCTGTGTGACCTTACCAAAGCTTATGAGACCTACATAAAGGAGTGACAAACTTAGCAACTTCAAATGGATCTTTTCTCTAATAGTAAGAAGTTAAAACAGTAGTTACTTACTTTTCAGGAACTTTCCAGCATTAGGAAAAGCTTTCAGCACCTAAAATGGAAATAGTCAGTTGCTGAAGAACTAGACTATAATATGAAGAAAAAGATTGGAGACAAGTAGACTAATGAAATGGATCAAATTTCAAGTAAAGTTTCAAGATGTAGTGTGATCATTATTACCTCAGAAATTTTAGTTTCCTCCGCAAAAGCAACAGAAACTTCTGCATGGCAAATGATATACTCTACTGCACCAGCACCTGAATCCATAATAATGCTCCAATAATGAGTTGGAACATTTATATATTGGAAAAGCAAATGAAAATATTAATTACCCTATAGCTATGATTATGCTCTTCTTGCATTTCACTCAATACTTTTTTATGTGTAGTTTAGACTGATCCGAAAAAACCAAATCTGACAAAAATGTCGCGAAGCATTGGTAATATACTTTTCTTGTAGCTGTGATGCTATGTCCTAAAAACATTAAACATTACTCTACATGCTAACATATATATATTGTCCTATTTCCTGTTCTTCTTTGGCTGTGTTTTGCTTTGGGAAGGGAAGGAGAGAGGTGACACACTTACCTAGAGTGTCATATAAGGGGACGCAATAAAGACCATGAGCATTGCAGGCCTGCACAAAAAAAAAAAAAAAAAACCATTTTGCTTACTTTGCTTATTGGACACCATATACTAAGCTGATGTACAATATAAAAAAAAAAACAAATCTTCGTAAGATCATAAAGAATGTTTCTGAGATTAGTTGAGACAACGTCGTTATCCAATTTATATTCTTAAAAGATATATGGTGTAATGAAATTAAGTTTATTGGGAAGTTATATACCTGCATGCTTATTACCCAGTTGGAGCAATTGGCCCCGTATATACCACATTTTCCACCCTGTATATAAGCAATCAGATAAAACCTCATTAGATAACAGAATTCAATCCATGGTTCTGACAAAACTGCATCTCTTCTCTAATACTTCCAAAGAATGTTTCCTAAGCTTGTTAAAACATATGAAACGTAAACTGGATTCCTAAAGCATCAAGAGAAAAAATTGCTTGATTTTACAGTATGAAAGTCTTACTTGCTTAACACCGCAGACACGCATAGAAGCTCCAACTTTTAACACTAGATCATACACCTCCCTATAAGTTAACCAAATGTATTTACCTGCCTACAAATTAGACACAAAAGTCAAAAACCTGAGCTTAAGAAAACGGAAATGTGCATTATTTTGCTCAAAGAAATTGAGAAATTGCACTAAAAAATGTATGTATGTATATACCTGACCGTGGGACATTTCCCGCTCACCTAACATTCGGTTATCTGGAAATTTTCTGACAGACTCACTGCACATCACCATAACAATAAGCAAAGTTTAGATTTAAAAAAATTGAAACTCTTAGAAGATAAAGTTTAATTATACAATTTAATTAAGCAAAAGTACTGGATTAACCCATCTAATAACAATATTGCTGTTTAATTAGCTGTGTATATACTTATAGGATTAACTTATAATCACTTGACCATTTAAACTCTAAAACATTGAGCAGGGATGCGTATTGAGGTAACTGCAAATATTAATGGAGGAAGATATACTCTGCCAGAGTCGATTGATACTAATACAAGTTATTATCTTATAAAGTCACTTTTTATTGAAAAAAAATTGAAATCAAGAATAAAAATGACTTTTTGAGATAATAATCGTTAGTTGAGATAAAAATCTAACTCATTTTGTTTGGTGAAAAAATGAATAAGAGGAAACTAAAAGGAGGCAACTTCATGAAAATAGGAGAAACTGAGAAAAAAAATCATGCCGTTACGATTTCTCGTTATCCGCGGGAAATGGAGGCCCAATGGGCCTCATCACTTGGATATTGGCAGCCCATATGCATTTTGGGAGTTTGTACGAGCATGTTTTACATCAACGCTAAAAATTGTTTGTTTTACTTTTAAGTTAAATTTTTTTTTTCGGCTAATTTATTTGAAAATTATTTTTGATAATCAAATTGTGTTTGACTAATATTTTTTATAAAGTATTGCACTTTTACTATTAAAATAATTTTATAGAGAGAAATTATTTTAAATATCTATTATAAAACTTAAAGTTATATTTTTATTTTTATCAAAGAAATGTTTTCAAATTTTAATCAATAGTATACATAAAAAAAAATATTGATATAATATTAACATGATTATTTAAATATAATTTAAAAAAATCAAGCAAAATAAAGTTAAAAATCATTCCATAAATTAACTCGCTACGGAAAATTCACTTCAAAATAAATTAAGGGATATATGGTAACCATGTATATCTTGAAATAAATAATTTTAAGCTTCTGCTTCTACTCATTTTAAGAAGCAGAAAATTTTAGATTATTTGAAAATCTATAGCCAAACACTAGCTAAATATTTTTTGGGTGCATGGTGTGGTGGTGTAAATGGACTGACCAGAAAATATCCCAGCAACTTTGAAGGGAATGAGATAAAGGCCTGAAACCATCTTTGGCTAATACATTACGATAAACAGGCCCTCTTGAAGGTCTTCCATTTGATCTCCCTTCTTTAGCTTTCTCAACTTCAACTACATACATCTTTTGATCCTCCATTTTTTTTTTTATCTCGACAAGCTAAGCTTCTGAATAATTAAAACTCTACTTCATCAGACGATGGTATTTATATAAAAGAGTTAGTAACAATTTAATTGTTATAAGAAATTGAGCACGCAAGCTTCCATTTATTGGTGGCCAATTAATGGGATGTAGTCGGTTTCATCAACTAACACTCAACAAGCTTTTTTGACTTTCTGTTTTTAGTTAAGTAATTAATGGACTTATCACAAGACATGACTCAACGATTGGGAAAAAAAAGAAACAAAGAATAAATTATTATTCTTCTAATTAAATTAGCTATGTATTTATGGTGCACGATTATATTACTGAATAAATTGATTACGTAAAGTTAAAAGAAGATGTTTTATTGGATAAATAACCTGTTGTTTTACTCTTCGTCTCAAATATCTATGCTGATTTTTTTTTTAAAGTTTTCTCTAATAAAATATTCATTTAGAGGAGGCTTTTTTTATAAAAAAAATTTAATCATTAGTTATGTAGTACTAATTGAAATATCATCTCTCTATGTTGAATATTAATTACTCTATTCATCAGTATCTTCCCAGGGTTAAGAGGTTTGTAGTCTTCCTCTATTTCATACACCTCTGAATTGGCACACCTATTAAGAAATTAATTAATGATATAGTGAGTTTACCATTTTACCCCTATTAATTATGAAGTGGATGAAAAGTTCTGCATTTTTCAAAGTAATTAGTCATTTAATTGAGGGTATAATAGGTAAAAAAAAATTTGTCCTTTCTTGATTTGTCAAAATGGACAAGTAATTAGGGATAACTATAAAAGAAAAAATGGACAAATAATTAGGGACAAAGAGAGTATTACTTGGTTCTTGTGGATCTTACACACCTCTTAAAAAAACTTTAATTAAAAGTATTTTACTACGTAACTTTATTAATGAGAACAAAGTAAAATTTTCTCAATTTGCTAAAATTGGCTAGTAAATTAAAATATCTATTTTTTATATAATGATCAAATAAAATGAAACAATTATTTTTAAAAATTAAGATAAATAATTTGAAAGGAAAAGAGTAATTAAGGTAGGTTCCATTCTGATGAACGCTGCTGCCAATAATTTCAATTGGTCGCCACGCGGTCACACCAACCTTGATTTTTATAATCTTTTTATGTACTAAGCTTATAAGCATCATAATATGGATAGGAATTAGGAACTTTGTAAACTAGTCCAAACGAAATATTATCCTTTTAATTTGTTTCGTTTTCTAATGAAGAATGTTCATTTATCATTACGCCTCCTTTAGTTATATACACACAATATGTATCGATCCATGAAAGGTTATTTAATTATACTCCCTCCGTCAATTTTTATATGTTATGTTGCGTTTTTCGAAAGTCAATTTGAATGATTGTCAAAGTTAAATTAGATTACATTAATTTGATATTTTAAATAAAAAATTTAAATATTCAAAAACTATACGAAAAGTACTATAAATTACAATTTTTTGTATATCGTAAAATGTTAGTCAATTTTTTTATAGTTTGACTCTAAAAGAGGAACTATGACGATTAAAAGTAGACGGAAGGTAGTATCATTTTTGTTTTTGTCAATTACTCTTTTTGTCCCTAATTACTTGTCCACTTTTGAATTGACACACATATTAAGAAAATAATTATTGACACAGTAAGTTTACCATTTTACCATTATTAATTATGAAGTGAATGTATTAAAAACTTAAGATTTTCAAAAAAATCGACATTTTTCAAAGTAATTAATTAAAAATATAATAGATAAAAATATTTTATCTTTTCTTGATTTATCAAAATAAACAAATAATTAGAGACAACTAAAAAAAAGGACAGAGGGAGTAATAAATTAGCAAAGATATACTACTAAGTTATCTGTGTCATGTACTTAATTAAACTCCACAAAGACATCATGAACCTAGTTATTCATATTTAGCTGTTTATGTTTTGGATAACTTCGAAGAGTAGCAAAAATAAATTGGTACACGGTATTACATTAGATTAATAGATGCATTATTATATATCTCTACTAAATAAGAGTCTACAAGTAGGCATCTGTTCATCAACATGTAGATTTTGCTCCTTAAAGCTTTTGTATGCTGGTACTATTGGTGTTAAAAGGGCGGGTTGAATTGAAATTAGAAATACTAAAATGGGGTGAAATAGTAATTGGGTTGGGTCTTGATCCACTCAAATTTATTTTGGGCTCAAATGGGTTGGGTTCAAATGGGCTAAAAAATGAATTGGATTTTGACCCGTTCAATTTGACCCGATTAATCTCAATAATTTTAACATAGTAATATTTAGCTTTTATAATCACAATTCAAATTTCAGCTCAAGGTTTTTTTAAAATAACGTAACAAATGAATAGATAAATCCTAAAAGATGCTAAATAGATAATAATTCATACATTTAATATAGGAACATATTTTAGTAAAAAGTTTTAAAATGAGTTGAAATTGGAGATTGAATTGAGCTCAATTGAGGATTCTCTTAAAATGAGTTAGGCTTAAATGGGTTGAGAGTGAACTCAATTCAAATTATCTAAAGCCGAATCCTTAAAATTATGAACGAATTGGTCGAGTTACCTATGTTTGAATTTATTTTTGACACCCCTAGTTAATGCTTTATAATTGTACCTTTTCTTCTTTAGACAAACAAACCATCTAACATCTCCACAATTACAAATATATCCATCAAAAAGCTACTCCCTCCGTTTCATTTTATGTTGCACCATTTCCTTTTTGGTCAGTCCCAAAAAGAATGTCGAATTTCCTTATATGATAAGTATTTAAAGATACAATTCTTCTTTTAGTCCCACTTAATCTTAAAATAATACTCCAATACATTTATGAGGAGAGAGAAAAGTGAGTCTACTTTTTAAAGGACAATTTGATAAACATTTCAAAGTCTTCATTTTTTTCTTAGACTCTGTGCCCGGTCAAATGTTGCCACATCAAATGGGACGGACGGAGTATACTCTTAATTGATCTAAGTGGGGCCAACCAACTTTATCATGTCGGCTGACCAGTACGTGTATTTCTTTATTTTAATTTATTATGTCTCACTTTTTAAAGTTGATTAAATATTTATAAAATAGTACTATGAAAATAATTAACAATTTAATATACTTAAAAATAGATTATATATTTAAAATTACATAAAAAATACTACATATCACAATAATCAATAATTGTTAGACACTTTAAATTCTATTAATACCACATAAGTTAGGATAAAGGGAGTACCATATAATATTTAAATATATTTTAAAATAATATAGGTAATACTATAAATTACAATAATTAACCGCTTAAATATTTAAAAGTTATATAAAAAAATCAATTGACTCTCGAAATTCTATTGGTACCACATAAAATGGATTAGATGATAAATATATATTGTTTGAAATTGATGAAAAAAATACTATAAATCACAATAATTAACCAAAAAAATCACTTGACTCCAAAAAATCTATCAATTAATGCCACATAAATTGGGACATGGAAGTAACATATATTATTTAAAAATTACGTCAAAAAGGTACTATAAATTACAATAATTAAAGACTTAATATATTTAAAAGACATATAAAAATGCTTAATTTTTGAAATTCTATATATGACAGATAAATTGGAACAAAGAGAGTAATATATATTATTTTTAAAATTATGTAAAAAAAAACTATAAATCACAATAATTAACAACTTAAAATATTTTTTAAATCATATAAAAATTTCAATAACTTCTTAAGTTCCATAATATCACATAAATTAAGATAAAAAATTAATACATATTGGGCCCTGTGCAGGAACGGGTCCTGTATCTAGTTTGCATATAAATTCCTACACTTTAACTTCTTATGTTTACTTCGTTTCACTGATTTCCCTTAACGTTTATAATATTATGCTACCTTCTAGGCTTACTATCTTCCTTATTTTAATTTTTTTTTGTAACAACTCCGTCCCATATTAGATGACCATCTTACTAAAAATGTTTGTCCATAGTACTCGAGCACTTACTAAATTAGGATAGAATTAATTAATTTTTTTCCATTTTACCCCTACAATTAATACTCCCTCTGTCCCTAATTACTTGTCCATTTTTCCTTTTTTAGTTGTCCCTAATTACTTGTCCATTTTGACAAATCAAGAAAGGACAACATTTTTTTACCTATTATACCCTCAATTAATTACTTTGAAAAAAGTAGAACTTCTTTTTAATTCATCTATTTCATAATTGATAGGAATAAAATTGTAAACTCACTATGTCAATTATTGTTTTCTTAATAGGTGTGTCAATTCAAAAGTGGACAAGTAATTAGGGATAGAAGGAGTATAATCTTTGGAAGTTTAAATAAATTTTAAAGACTCATTTTAATGTGCATTGATATAAACAAAAGGCAAAATGGTAAAGTCTTCCAATATATTGATGATTTCTTAATCACCGTGTAAAGTTGGAAGTATTTATCTAATATGAGACGGAGGGAATATTATTTTAATTTATTTTATTTATTACTAATGAAAAAATAAAAATAATATATATTATATATATATAAGTACGCAAGCACCTTAAAAACCACAGAATCTAAAAAAATATATTATTATTTCGCTACCTTTTTTGGATCTCGTCTAATAGAAATATACATACAAACACTTGGGAATCTAGCTAGGGTTCTATTTGTATTTATGGATTGATTTTCCGTTTGGGTATTAATTTACCCAACTAACATAATACCAACGATAGGTTCCACAATTAGCAGTACTAATTACCATAAATAGAACTGGAAGAAGAAATTAAATCAATTAGAGAAACCAAAATGGAAGGGGAAAAAATAATAAAGAAAGTAGATCAACGTAAGAGGAAAATGAACCATGCAGATATTATACGTACACCAAAAATACATTATCGCATTTTCCTTCTACGTGTTTGTGCATTAAATATTTACATGAACTTACCATATGGGGAACTTGTTCATCAACTTTAAATTCGAACGGATCCATAGAAACAATTTCATCAAAAAAAATATAAGTTTGAGAAAGAAAGAAAAACTCGAAGAATTAATCATGAATGGTTTCACCAATAAACCCCTTCGTGTTTTAATGTTTCCATGGTTAGGTTATGGTCACATCTCTCCATTCCTAGAGTTAGCCAAAAAGCTAAGCCAAAGAAACTTTGTTATTTACTTATGTTCTACGCCAGTAATCCTGAACTCTATAAAAAAAAAACTTAGCCCGGAATTTTCACCATCGATCCATCTCTTGGAACTTCATCTCCAAACATTACCAAATCTTCCTCCAAGTCACCACACTACCAATGGCCTCCCACCTCATCTCATGAACACTCTCAAAGAAGCTTTTGACTTAGCTAGTCCTGATTTTGCCCTAATTTTGAAAACCCTAAAACCCGATTTATTGATTTATGATTTTCTCCAACCATGGGCTCCTAAGTCTGCTGCTGAATTAAAAATCCCAGCTGTTGAGTTTATTAGTAGTAGCTCCACGATGACAGCTTACATGCTGCATGAGTTCAACAAGCCAGGTATTAAATTTCCATTTTCGTCTATTTGTTACCGCGATTATGAGAAAGCTCGTATTGAGAAACAAGAAGCATCTATCTCTGTGGAAAAGCTTGAAGAAGATAAAAGGAGAGTTAGAGAATGTTTTTACTTATCTTGTGATATTGTTTTGATTAAAAGTTTTAAGGAGATTGAGGGTAAGTATAGTGATTATATCACTAATTTAACTGGAAAAAAAGTTGTACCTCTTGGTCCTTTAGTTCAAGAGCCTACACTTGAAGATAGTGAATCAGAGTTAATAACATGGTTGAATGAAAAAGAGAAGAAATCCACAATTTTTGTATCTTTTGGGAGTGAATATTTTTTGTCAAAGGAAAATTTGGTAGAGATTGCTTATGGGTTAGAAACTAGCAAGGTGAATTTTATATGGCCAATAAGGTTCCAAAAGGGGGGAAATCTTGAACTTGAAGAGGCATTGCCTAAAGGTTTTTTCAATAGGGTAGGGAATAGGGGAAAAGTTTTTAATGGATGGGCTCCACAAGCAAAAATTTTGGAGCATTCGAGTATTGGTGGATTCGTGAGTCATTGTGGATGGAGTTCTGTAATGGAAAGTATGAAATATGGGGTCCCGATTATCGCGATGCCTATGCATATTGATCAACCAATTAATTCTAGGCTTGTTGAAGATGTTGGCATTGCTGTGGAAGTTGTGAGGGATAGTGATGGAAAGCTTCATAGAGAGGAAGTTGCAGCCATAATCAACCAAGTTGTGCTTGATAAGGATGGTGAATTTGTAAGGCAAAAGGCAAAGGACATGAAGGAAAAGCTTTGCATCAAAGAAGATGAAGAAATTGAACAAGTTGCCAAGGAGTTGGAAAAGCTATGTGCTAAATTCTTGTAGTATTTTTTCACTTAGATGCTTATATTATATAGTATAGTAGCTAAGGGTACTTTTGTTCCTCTTTTTGTTAGGATCAAATCTTACTTATAGTCTTTAATTTTCAGTTGTCTACGTGTTCTTTTTGCTGATGTTGGACATCCGATCCTATTGATTTGTTATAAATTATAAAATTAGTCTTATATCTCTTTTTATTTTAATTCCATGATCAACAATATGGCCCATTTAAAAGATATATATGTGAGCCGGATATATATCGTCTCTAAGTTGACTAGTTGAGGGGTATATCAAACTTATTTATATGAATTGTTGGCATTTTTGTTGGGAGAAAGGTATTAAATTAAACCTGGCTAAGAATATTCCAAACATTTTCTTCTTAAGAACTCAAATTTGACTAGACTGTGACAACATGCAAAATAAGCTAAAATCTATTGAAAGCCATAGTTTAGTAGAACACTACAATTTACAAGGCAGTAGAGAAGTGTCTGTTTTATATTCATGGTTTCTAATGTTACAAAGAGTTAGCAGACTTCTTTCCTTTCCAATATTCTAGCATTAGGAGCTAAAATCAGGTTCAGCTGGCTTCTGAAGCAGTAAGGGACTCAATCTGGTAAATGATTTGGAACCCCTTGGATGGTTGCGCCTCAAGGCACGCAGCGCGTTAGCAGCAAACTTTGATGCATAAATGGTAGCTCCAAGGCTTGGCAAATTGGCTGCCTCATTTGCTAATGCAGCCTGTAGTCTATCTTCTTCCTCTTTCAAAGATTTCTCAAGCTTGTTCCTGCTGTGTCGACGCCATGCGGCTTGTATAAAGCAGGCTGCCCATGTCCTCCAATGCTGTGAATAGAATCTGAAACATCCCAAAGTACATTGAAATTGTTAAGGGCCTTCTCCAAAACTGATGCCAGTATAAGTGTTTTGAAATTGAACAAGAGTTAGTGTACATACCTGAAAGTATGCCGAAGCTGCTTGCTATGAAGACGTCTAAATTGGGCTGCGACAAACTTGAGATCATCAGCTGTGAGAGCAAAAGCTTCGACATCTATGACAGCTTTTACTGTTCTAGTTGAGGAGGGAAGAGTCGAGGAAGCATGAGGGTCCAAAGCCCATGTAAGAAGCTCCTCTCCACAGAAATCACCAGCCTTGAGAGATGCAGAGTTGAAGAAACCAGTTCTTCCACCATTGGTGGTCATAGTCAATAAAGTACCTCTCATGAGAAAAAGCATCTCACTCACTGGATCGCCTTCTCGGATTATGAAGCTATTCTCTGTGAAAAGAGCTGGTTTTAGTCGATCACACAACGCATCCAGCAACTGTTCATCCATCTTCTCAAACATGGGAACCTGCATATAAAAGATCAAATAAGATCAACAGTTTCAAGAATAAAGGGCATGATGAGCACAAAATAAGACACTCACTCTTTTGAGCAAAGACCAACATAGATGGCGTTTTACGTCTCTTTTCAAGTCTTTGGGAAGGTTAGAAATTAGATAATCTTCATCAACGCCTCTAGTTTCTTGCCATTTGTACTGCTCATATCTTCGAATACGCTCTCTCAGGTTGTCAGGAAGCATGCGGTGAGACATCCACTGTTCTGCATCTCGCCTTCTCAATCTCATTCCTTCTACTCTAACTGTGATAGACTGCAAATATTCCTGTAGCCAGAAACTAATGCAACATTAGTTGACTTCAATTCTCCGTAACAAAGTTTCATCTGTTCCTCTAGTTTGGCCAATGTAAACTCACAACTTTATCTTGAAAATAAAAGGGGTTTAAGCTTGGCATTGTCAAATCATTGATCTATTCAAACTTTCTTAATAGCTCATAAACTAAGAGGAAGATATTGAAGTTACTGAATGCATATCAATGCATTGAATGTGAAGAATTTTCACTTTAAAACAGAATTGACTTGTTCAAGACTCTTAAAGGTAAGAATAATTGCTCCAGCGATGCGTACCTGCATGTTGCCAATAAGCAACGAAAACAGAATCAGGCCAACAATGCAGATGAAGATGGCAAAGCGAATCTCCCATACAGAGTTGCTTGTCTTAAGGTCTTGGCCAAAAGAACTGAGATACATAAGACAGAAGAATCTGTTTAGCTGAGAGAAAGTTATCGAATGATTTGTAAGAATAATGAAAACCAAAAAGCAGGACCACAGACCTTAAATTTCGCAGCCCCCACCAGAAGCAATAGGTGAGTTTGGACCAGAAGTTTCTTTTTTCAGCAACTCGAGAGTGAAGAGCATCAAGAAATATCCCAAAATCAAAGTCATGCTCTTGTACATCTTCCGGTTTCAGGAGAGGACAAGAAGAATTTAGAAATTGAGTGTTTGCTTTCCCTAGATGTCCACAACATATGCTGTCTAGCACACAGTTTTTAATACCCTTACATACATGGCTCCAGCAGTCATCTTGTCTTTCTATTGTGATCAAATACCAAAACGCTCCAACTACCTGAGTTCAGACATTTGCGCATATCATTATACATGTGAAGGGAAAAAAGAACATCTATACGTCACGTAACATCAGTATTGATCTCCTCTATAATTAGGAAATCAGAAATGTAAGAAATTCTGCATACTCTGACCATATAACTTAAAGCACAATTGATATATGATGATTGATGACTGATATAAGAAAACATACATTACTGGCAATCATGAATAGGAATAAATTGAAAGCAGCTCCAGCCCATGCCGTTTCAGTTAAAAAGCCTGTTGTCCTTGTTACTTCCTTGTATAATGGGTATATCCTAAGGAGTCTTGGAATATATTGTGCAAATATAACAATCACCAACTGTTTTCTCGTCACCAAAGAAATGGGACGATTTGTATTAGGAGCGATGATAAAGAGCACCATCTGTACCAACAAAGTTTAAGTATACATGTTACATAGATATCATACTGTCTCAATTTAAGTATAATCTTTGAAGCATAATGGAATTAGACACAAACCTGTGGGAGTGGAAGAACGGCTAAAATGTCAATGATGAAATAAGGAAACAAGTATCGCTTGGCTATAAGGGAAGAGTCCTCGATCAACTCACCCCTACCAAATACTCGAGAAGAAGGAGTAATAAAGCCAGTGCGAAACTGCAAGATGATATGATAGATATAGAAAAGATCGGAGACTGATCGAAGAATAGAAATAGGGATCTTCAATGTACGATCCAAATCAAGGCACTTTCTCTTGTTATCAATGACAGGAATGTAGAAAAACAATGCATCAATGGCCACTGAAATAATACAAGCGAAGACAAATACTTTGTTCCAGAACTGAAGAAATGGTTCCTGAGGATCAAGAATTTTATTTCTTGATGATCCTGAAACTTTTCTTGAACTGTCACTTAGGAAAGGGGTGCACAGTGATTTTCTTATTAAGCCACATATTCTATCGGAACCCCTCGCAGTTCCTCTTCTAATAGTACTCATGCATGAGCTGATCGATGATTTTCTGACTGAAAACATTCCATTTTCTTCTGACTTGCAGTGTTCAAACCTGAGAAGAACAGGTCATATTAGATAGAAAAACACAGATAGTTTTATCATATAGTAGTACTTGTACAAAAGGTACTATGCAAAACAACTTGAAAATTTACATCTGACAACACCATTCATGTTGTGTTAGTTCACAAGTCAAGGGCTGCAAAATACAGGATAGAGGATGCTGATTATCGAACTAACCTCACGTATTTTTCTTCATTGAGAATCGTCATTTTCAGCTTCTTCTCTACTGTATGCTCATCAACTTCTTTATTCTAGAAGGAAAATGGTAAAACAAGATCAATCAATTCCCTCCTTTTTACACTATTCTACTCTCCTATCATAGAGCCCAATGAAAGAAATGCAAACTAAATTAGACAAATCAAATAAGTACTATGTAGACTTGAACTTCAAAGATCAACAGTGAAATTAAGTTTGGAGTTAATAAGTACAATCCAGTAATTTTTCGATGACAGCTTATCCAGGAATGAAACAATTGTATAACATTAATTACCTAGATTCGAGAAAAGATAACTCTGAATAAATTATTTCTAACATAAATATACAAGATTTGGCCAAAACTACTGGATTCTACCGAACTCTGTAACTAGAATTCTAGTTCCGCCCCTACCTATAAGATGATTCTTTAAGTTAACTCAGCCATTTATTTAAACAAAATCCAAGAAAACCTCAAAAATGCTATGTCATGCAACATGAACATAAGGACTCAAACTTACTATAATAAATTTCAAGAAAGTGTATATATAAAAGAAAGTATAGACACCTTGAGAAAGTGGATTGAAGAGAAACTAATAATGTAGTGTACTTTGCTTAGGGGTATATAAGAAGGTGAATGAAGAGCAGTTTCCTAGAGATTGCTGTTATAAATAAAAGTACAATTGGATCATTGCAGGGGAACAAAGAAACTCTCAAGACTATAGTCACACAAGTCAATGAAGAGCTGCTAAAATGGAAAATGTTTCCCTGTTCGGGAATTTCCACATGTGTGTAACCTTGGACCAACTTTTTCCATTATTTAAATATTTGTACAACTTTTTCAAAAGAAATGTGAGTGAACCTTTTGAAAATTTTGGAGGAAAATGTATATTATTGATCTAGAAAACAGGATATTCAATTAGAATTAGGTACATTTCTTTTGCTCATACTTAATATTATTATAGTTACGGGTTCAACTGAACACATAAGTACTTTTGATGCTGAACATAAATTTATGGGTAAGAATTTATTATAATTGCAATAAATAACAAATATGAACTCATAACTTCCAAAATATAATAGGTTCAATGTTAAACACACGGGAGTCGTTTAGTGTGAATGTATAATGTATAATAATATCAGAATAAAATGCAAAATTATGTTATCCTTCGTGATGGAATAAGTTATTCTATATATATACTGTATACATGGTGGAATAGGATAACGTGTTCCTAACCAAATGACTCATGCGAAGTGTTGCATGGATTGATTGTGTCAAGCCGTGTTATGAAAAGATGTTTAATCAAGTATTATAATAAGTGACAAGTGATAAGATAGTTATAAAATAAATCACACGTTGAATTTAATAATTAAGATGAGAAGTTTTAATTGACCTTAATCGGCAAGTAATGACTTTTTAGCTTTTAATAAGCCCTTCATCACTTAGAAGTTTCTGAAGAAACGGAAAGTTAAGTCAGAAAGAAGCAATTTCTAATTATATTTCTTATTAAAGTAGGTTCCATGTTGATAAAGTACCCTAATAAGTTCGATTGATCTAGTTATTACACCATTAGTTTAGTACAAAAAGGTGAAATATAGATAACTTAAAGAATGATTAGAGAAGTAATTATACCTAATGAGATGATTCATATAATAGTTGTGGTCAAAAGATTCGATGTTGACAGCCAAATTCCATGAAGTCACACAAGTATTGTTTTTGTAATATATATGCTTTGTGTGGTAATAATAGTTTAAGCAAAAATTAATCCGCATGCCTAATTATATATTCAATTAGAAGACGTCAATAATTCGCCCAGTTGACATCTTATGCCTTTTTTGATAAATTGATTAATTAAGTATAAGGACGGTGAATTTCTTTCCATGAATTAGATTTATATTTATATATATTAAAATAAATGAGAATTAGAAGAAGACAATTCAAGAAAAAGACAAAAAAAAACTAAATTAGGAAAAAAGTTTGCAACCATACCAGGCTGGCCCGAACATGGGAGAAACAATAGTGCCCTTGAAATGTTAATTCTTAGTATTAATTTTTAACTGAATCGATAATTTTAATATTTCGTATAACTTTATATATAAAATTGTCTATTATATAAGTAAAGTTGTAAAGGACATACATATTAACACAACGATCCATTCAAATAAAATAACATGAAATAAATTATATAACTTAAATCACACAATTAATAGTATATCTTAACAAATATACTTATCATATTCAACCGTTACGCTTATAAAATACAATAAATCGATCTTGCTTTAAGATCGTTAAGCAGTTAAATTTTAAGCTTTATTCATCATAATTTTATCGATGGATCAGTGATCACTAGCCCCTTCATCGTCAGTACAAACAAATTAAAGCAAGCAATATCAGTACCAAGTTATATTGAATGCTGGAAATTAAGAATGTATAAAATACTCCCTCTGTCCACTTTTGATTGTTTAAGCTTTTTAAAAGTTAATTTGACTAATTTTTAAAGTTAAATTAGATTGTATTAATTCGGTATGTTAAACAAAAAATTTAGATATTCAAAAACTATATGAAAAGTACTATAAATTTCAATTTTTTGCATCTCAATATGATAAAAAAAATATATCATAAAATGTAAATCAAAATTATTATGATTTATCTCTAAAAAAGAATTATAATTAAAAGTGGATGAAGGCAATAACTTACTTGTTACCGACTTACCGTTATCATTTTTATCTACATGAGGCATTTTAAAATTAGAAACGCTACACGTGTAGGGAAATTGAGTAACATGATAGGAAATGACATTATTTCCAAGATTAAATAGTACTTTTTTAAAGCACTTGCATATAACAACTCGATCTCCTTTTGAATTTTCAAATTTGTAAAAAATTATTTATACCAGGACAACAAGGTACTGTTGGACTATTAATATTGCCACTAATTTTTATAATGTATGGGAGACATGGAGATAGCTGGAAAACTAACTGTTGACTGATAGGAGCACCCCACACATATTGGATTGACACACTAATTATTATTAGTAGGGCTAAAGAGACGAACACAAGAAAACGAGCCATAGCTAATATTTGTATTTTATTTTATTTTTTGGTACGTGTGTCCAATTCTTGTGAAAATGAGTGACATATAATTCCCTATTTTTCAGCCCCTAATTAGTTATCTGTTATAGCATGCAATTTTCATGAATTGTTGATTATCAATTGGAATTTGGAACGATACTTCCTCTTCACACGATATGAGATTAGAAGAAATTAAAACAAAATTACCCTGGCTAGCTGTTCATATAGTGATTATTAACCAAATGTGATAATATTACGTGGCCTATTTGCTTCCCTTGTTTTGATTTTTGAGATCTCCTTTGCTCAGGTTTGTTACCGTTATTTTGATCTTCTTTTTTAATTTTTTTTTTAAAACATATTTATTAATAATATAAAAAGTTACAGCTCGACTGAATTGCCCTTATTCAAAAATCAAATATTATAATTTATAGGAGTACTATATAATTCTAATTAAGTAATTATAATTATGAATATATTTTTCAATAGATGCTTTAAGAATAAAAATCCCAAGTCTTTGGCTCGATAATCATCCCAATTTTTCAAATGTATGAACCAATATCCATCATTTGGAATTGTTTTATTAAATCTCATCCGGCAATTTAATTTGTTTTATGTTTTCCATCCAGTGTCCGGGGCCCACATTGGATCCCCGACTAAATTCGGATTGCACACGGCAGGGCCCATTCTGGGGCGGCGTTCCCAATAGGATTTTTCCAAACTCAGGACTCGAACTCGAGACCTTTGGTTAAGGGTGAAACACTCCCACCAGTGCACCAAAACCCATGTTGGCTCCGGCAATTTAATTTCATTTATAACAAAAAATTGAAAAAAATATATCTCCTTTTAATTGACTATTATCAAAAAATAAAATCGAAATATATTTATATTAACCGCATTCAATATAAGTTCTGAACACATGAAGTTTTAACCATATTTCAGACTTAAAGAACAATTCCTTGAGCTTGATTCCAAAAAATTAATTACTAATACTAAATTGCAGACTTGCCGTGGAATAACTTTCAATTTGTATCTGAAAAAACTTAACTATATTCCATATAAAGAGAAAATTACGTGTGTTATTCTAAGGTGATTAATAAAAAGGAGAAGGAAATTTACTTGGAAAGTTTGGTAGTTTTGTTGCAGCCTAATGTCTACTGAAAAAAATCTTGTGAATAAGAGGAATTCGTTTAGTAATAAACGAATACTGAGATAGTAATAACTATTCTCGCCGTCCCATATTAGCGGTTATTTTCATTTTTCAAGAGTTATGTAAATTTTAATCAACATTTTAAAATATATAACTTTCATCAAATTGACATGAGAAAAATTGTAATTTGTAGTACTTTCCAATCTCCATATAGTTTTTGAATATCTTTATTTTATTGTAAAATATTAAATTCAACTAATTCAATTTGGTTTCAAAAATTAGTCAAATTGACTTTTGAAAAGCGAAACATGACAACTAATATGAGACGAAGATATTATTTATTTTTTTACAACTGCAGGCAGCAGAGACACCTGCTTTTTGTTTTTCCTTTTAATTTTTGTTTTTTGTTTTGAATAATTTGCTAAAATAAAATATAAAAATCATGATTTGAAGTTGTTCCTATTTATTTTGCATGTGATTTTTTTATTCTTTTAGCAAATTATTCAAAATAAAAAAACAAAAATTAAAAGAAAAAAATATATATTTTATAGTAAGATTTTAAAATAAATAGCAAGATTTTGATATTTTTCAAACTTGAATTAATAAAATCTTACCTAAAAAATCGAAATAAATAATTTGCTAAAAAATATAAAAATCACATGCAAAATAAAAAGGAACATCTTCAAAATAAGAAAAAATTAAAAGAAATTTTTTTTTTTAAAAAGAAAACTAACTAAAAAACAAAAAATTAAAACATAAACTAATAAAAAGAAAGAAAGGAAAGAGCAGCCGTGCGCCTTGTAAGGCTGCGGCGCATCGTTGCTCCTTTTTTCCCCTAATTGTTACACCATCTA